AAATGATCTATTTTACAGGGGCAAACATGTTATTTTACCAAAAAAAAAGGCAGTCAAGTATTAAAATATTAGAAAATAATTATCATATTTTGCAGTACCTAATTGTCTTTTACATATTTTGGAGCTATTTTTTTGTCATTTTTCCTTATTTTATTAAACAAATATTTCATCAAAAGAAAAGAGTTAAATTTGTGTAAATTTTAAGAGTTATGATTTGTATAATTATTTCAATATTTTTGAGTATATGAGTATTTAAAATTACAAAATAATTCTTAAGTTTACTTCAACTATGGATTTAATCTTTCAAGTTTAATTTTTATCAATTTAATTTTTTATATTTTTTAAAATTATCATGTGAGTCCTTTAAATTTTAAAACATAAATTGACACTTAAAATAATATAATATTTAAATTTTATTAATAAATTGACATATATATGTAACTAAATGAAATCAAATTAACCTTCAAATAAATTAATTTTTATCAATATAATCTCTTACAAAGTATTTTATTCTCTTATTTTATAAAATTTTAGAGTCTTTTTTATCCAAATAATTATACTTATTTTTATTATTATATATGGTTGTTATCAATATTATATTATTTATATTAGCAAATTTTAATAGTGGTACCTTCTTTTTAAACAATAAGGATAAAATTGATAACTGAAATAATATAAGGAACCAAATTAACAAAAATTAAATTTGAGAGACTAAATTAATAACTAAAAAAAATTTTAGGGACTTAAAGTTGCTTTATTCCTAATAATTAAAGGGAAAAACTTATATATTTAGTTTTATATACTTAAGGTGCTTGTTTTCAATTAAGTCAATACATATTTATCTATTATAGATTATTTATTCAATAATAAATTCTTGTTATTAATACCATTAACATATTAAAATTTATATGTCTTGATTTAATGAGATAAAAATATATAAAACATATAAGGGTAAGTATATAAGTACTGCCTATAATTAATATACTTTAAATATTTTGAAAAATAATATAATAAATAAATACACACACGCGCACACACACATCTAACAAGTTTGATCATGAATTTAAATATGTACTTCTTTCATTTAAAAATGTAAACTATTTATTTAGAAGTTGGATATTAAAAAATATAGGACATTTTTAGTCTTTTAAGATATTATCATTATCTTATTTTTTAAAGTGTCCCTATTAAATGAATCACTTTATATTTATTTTAAAGTAAAAAATTTTAATAAATAATAGTAAATATGAAAAAGATATAATTATTTTGAAAATAAATAATTATTTTAGGGAGAAATTTAGTTAAAAACATCTTAGATTTTTTAATGAAAGAAGTACCTCTATAATTATTTTAATTAATTATATATTTCATCTAATTCTGTGAGCATTAAAAAACGCAATGATCAAAAAAAGGTGGTTTGCCAATCAATACAAAATTTGAAAATACAACTTCGTAAATTGTGGTGAGGGACAATGTCACAATGGGAGGATGCCCTCCACCATACGGGTGCATGATAGGGCCCCCACCGGATTAAGGTCCCCCATCCAGAAACTTCCACTCACAAGTCACAAGGTAAGTAGGGGCCAATTTGTTTTAAAAAGGTAATAATAAAAATGGGCCATGAATAGTCAGTCATGCCCATTTTCCACATGGTGGCCATGGCCCACCCTATTGTGCGGGTCCCAATAGCCCAACAACAAAGTTGCCTGACGGGCAAATGGTGGGTCCCATGCCAATCCCCCACCAGCCGTTGGTCGGTCTACCCCAGGGGAGTGCATGCGTGGGACCCACTGAGAAAGTTAGGCTTGCCAAAGTGGGCCCTGTGGGTTTGGCATGGCGACGAATAATGGAATCGTGTAATATTGGCCGTTGGATTGACAGGTAACCGGCCCCCAGCCTCGCCGTACATGGCAAGTTGTGTTGCGCGGCAACTCAGTTGAGATCCTTCAAGATAAAGTGGGCCCCTTCTGCCCATGCGCCCACGTTAAGTGATGGGGCCATGCTTGCGGAACCGAAGGGTCTCAGATATCGACACGTGGCATCCGGAAAATGGTGAAGGTGAACAATATCAACTAAACAATACTATCCTCTCTTAAAAAGATTGATAGTCCTCCATTTATTTTTAACCGAATTTAATCTTTTAATAAAATAATTATTTATTTTTAAATTAATATTATTTTTTTATATTTACTTATATTTAATAAATTATTTTAATTAAAAATAAATATAAAATTTTTTTTTAGGTATTACTTAAAAAATATAATAATTATATCTTAAAATATTAAGAATGATTTTTATTTTTAAACATCCAATCTCTAAAAAAATTATCTTACATTTTTAAATGAAGGGGTAATTCTTAATATAAGGTATTTAGTGATGTATTAATTACTCTATTTATTTAAAAATATAAGATATTTTTTATTGAATCTTACTTTTCAATAAAGTAGTTAATTATTTTCAAACTAACATTATATTCTATATATATCTCTATTTAATAAGATTTTTTACTTTAAAATAAATATAAAATAATTTATTCATTAGGAATACTTTTAAAAAAAGTAACAATTACATTTTAAAACACTAATAATGCCTTATATTTTTAAATATTCAATCGCTCAAAAAATGTCTTAACAAAGGGAGCATATTTTTTAATATTATTTTTATTTAAATTCTTTAATTATGAGAAAGAATATAATATAATTTGAAAAGTTTCATTTAAACATAGATAAAATATGAAATTTATTCTTTTTTAAAACAAAGGTAGTGAATTAACTTAGTGAGATGATTAAAAGTGTCTTGTAATAAAAATGTAAAAAAAGTATATTATTACATCTATGGAGTACACAATAAATTATTACTAGACGGATGGGTCAATAAATAAATAAATAACCCGAAAGGATTTAAAATGAGGTGCATCCTTTTTACAATTAAAAAGAATTAGCTGAGTTAGATTATTAGATCTTACCAAGGCAATTACATTTCTCCAAGCTAAGAAATATTTACAAATCGTTTATCAATAATATTTTTACATTAATAACAGGATTTGAAATAATAATCTTATAAGTCTAGGGCCAAACTTAGACTACCCTTTGTTCTGGGAAAAAAAAAAGACTACAATTTACAAGACAATTTGAGATAAAATTGCTCAAACTAGTAAAATTCAATAATGACATTTTAAGATCTTATTTTTTTAAAAAAATAAAAATATAAACTTTTAAAAATATTTTTTTTAAAATTTACAATCATTTCAATTTACTATACTATTTTGTCACATTGTCATGTAATTTTGGACAATGATATTTCTTTAAATTTGTTTTATAGTTTGGGATGAAGGGAGTAATATGAAATATCTATCTTTATTTAAAATTTAATTAATTTAATATAATTTATATTTAATATTGGGTTAAATTGCAATTTGACCTATAAACTGTAAGTCCAAAAGTGTTTGAAACTATAAACTCATTTTTTGTATAATTTTTCCTCTCAATTTTTAGAAATAATGCAATGCAGCTCCTACTATTAATAAAAATTAACTTTAACTGTTAGTTAATCAGAATATGATAGAAAAATACATCAAAATTACAAAAAAACAAGCAAGAAAATTTTCTAGATCCTTTTTTTTGTAATCTTTTAGGTCATTGTCTATACTTTTTGGGTCCTTTTCTGTATTTTTCTTGGTTCTTTTCTATAATTTTTTAGTTTTTCTATCATTTTTTAGACAATTAATTATCAAAGTTAATTTTTGTTAATTGTAGGTATTACATCGTATCATTTTCAAAAGTTAAGGGGAATATTACACAAAAAATGAGTTTAAGATTTTTAATATTTATGGATATATAGTTTAGAGACTAAATTGCCTTCTAACCCTTTATTATTTTAAATAGTTGTGTAAAACATTTATTTATATTATCATATTTAATTATTTAAAATTCTTTAAAGTGGGGAGGGGAGAAGGAGTAGAAAATTTGATTATGAAGGCAAATATACATTTTTAAGTTTTAACATAATTTGAGACTAATTTAATAGTAGAATATTTTTAATAGTATTAAAAGTTAAATTAAAATATAAGTTTCGAAAATAGAGAAGGGGCGGCTAAAGTGAAGCGAGAATATTGTTGTATTTTATTATGCTATCGTTACTCATTAACTAGTGTTTCACCCGTGCAATGCACGGGTCCTCTTATAAGAATTATAATAATTTTTAATTTAACTTGTATTACTAAATGAGTTATTTAAATAAAGTTATAATAAGAAATATATTTTAAAATAATTAAAATATATGATGGTATTGCAATAATAAAAAAATTGCAATATAAATGAATTCAAAATGTGATGAATCAAGATTCAAATTCCTATTGAGAGAAGTGATTATATTTAGTTTTTGACCATACTTAAAATTGGAATTACATCAGTACTCAATCAACACATATACACATGCATTTATTTAAATATACATGTAGAAAACATTTTCTAAATATAATAGATGTGAGTGTACTACAAAAGATATAGGCATGAAATCATAACATACACAAATGAAATACATCTAATATAATATGCAATATATCTAACAGGAATAAATGTTCAACAATTCATTTAAACATGAGGTAATATATATATATATATATATATATGTATATATAGGAGGGAGGTAAATGAAGGTGTGCTTTTTTTCATCAATGAGTTGTTCAATCATAGATAATAAAATCCATGTAATACCTGAACACAGCTCTAGCCATAAATACCAGCAAAACTTGGTAAAATATTCCTGAAACAAATGATGAAATTTTATGTGGATGTTAAATATAAGGAAGAATATGAATAAAAGAACATAATTGGCAAGTTAATTTTGAATATTTGAAAAGGAACAATTAGCAAATATAAGAAAACGTACTATAAAATAATTATATATAAAGTTTTATGATATATTATTTAACGATGAGTCACTAATAGATGATAGATAAGAGGCAAGGTTTATATCGAGCATGTACCTTATATATGAATCTATGTCAAACCATTAAAGATTTCTTTATAAACAACATTGTTGGTTTTGTTTGTTGGTTTACCCTCTTCATCTAGAATTAAAATCTTCAAGCCACATCTGCTACGAACTCGAGATATAGCAACGTACAACTGACCATGTGTAAATACAGGTCGTGGGAGGTACAATCCAACATTTGTGAGACTCTGTCCTTGGCTTTTATTAATCGTCATTGCAAAGGACAACATAATAGGGAATTGGCGTCTGCATATTGTGAAAGGTAAACTTGTATCTGATGGAGTAATAGTCATTCGAGGAATTAAAACTTTTTGACCTTTTGAGATTCCTGTCATGATCTCAGCTTCAATGACATGTCTGACAAGTTTACTGACAATTAATCGAGTGCCGTTACAAAGACCAATAGATTTGTCGATATTTCGCATAAGCATAATAGGAGCCCCTACTTTAAGCTTGATTTCATGGTTAGGTAGTCCTGACATTGTTAATGAATTCAAGAATTCTGGCGAGTGAATATCTTGTAAAGCACCTCCTATTTCATCTTGTTTAGAAACTGTGTCTGCGCTTAAGTAGCAAACTTCATCACCAGGGAGCATGGATAAAACATATTCATTGACTTCATCAACAATTGCTAATGTTGGAGCTAAGATAGCACGCTCCTGGAAATAACATGCACTATGTATATTCTGTAGCAGTTCTGGATAAGTGGAATCAATAATACACCTAAGAGGATCTTGAGTAGGGTTTAACAATAACTCATCTGGAATTGTAATTTCTTCTGCTTCTTTATGGTTGTTGTCAACTTTTCCATCACCAATTGAGATAATCCAGTTTGCAAATTCTTGAACTCTCATTGCATCTTTAGATGTTGCATTAGTCAATAGTCTCATATTTTTAGTCAATGTAAAAACCTTACAATCTTTCCATAAATATGAAGAAGTGATTGTAGAAAATACAATATCCTCTCTACTACCTTTTCGCACAACTGGAAGAATTTGTCGAAAGTCACCACCAAGCAAAATAACTTTGCCACCAAAGGGCCTTAACGCAGCATCTACTTGTTGAACTTTCATGATATCTCTCAGAGACTTATCAAGAGCCTCAAAACAAAATTTATTGGCCATGGGTGCTTCATCCCATATTATTAGGGAAGTGTTGATAAGCAGTTCACTAAGATGACTACCATGTTTTATATTACAAATTGAATCTTCATTAACTGCAATTGGAATGCGAAATTGAGAATGAGCAGTTTTACCTCCTGGCAATAATAATGAGGCAATACCACTTGAAGCTACGTTCAAAACAATCTTTCCCTCAGAACGTAAGGAGGTGCTCAATGTATTCCATAAATATGTTTTTCCAGTTCCACCATGGCCATAAACAAAGTACATGCCACCATTATTACTTTTGACTGTAGATAACACTTGGTCATATATTTTCTTCTGTTCAGGAGTCAAATTGTTCAACAAACAAATTAATTCTGATGATAATAATTTTTTGTCATAGCTCAACTCCATACGTATAAGTTTGTTGCTCCTTAATTCCATAACAGATGACTGTGGCAAAGGCATAGAACCAAACTCAGATAATGTCCTTGCATTTACATTCAAGAGCTTCTCAATCTCAAGCAAGGTTAAATTTTGCAACTCCTCATCAGATAACTGAAAACCTAATGGACTTAAATAGTTAGAAGTATGTAAAATGTTGTATTTTTAATAGCATTTCATAAAGTAAAATTAAAGACAAAGAAATATGAATTGTAAAGATAAGATACAGGTAATAATATGTACACATTTACCTTGGTGTCCTGTTATTTGTCTCTGTTGATACAATATGTCATTAGACAATGGTTTCCAAATTTGTCTCCATATAAACTCTGGACGTGATAAACAGTTACAGGCTAATAAGGTCGAAAACAACCGTCTCAGATAGTTGGCTGAGGCCCATTGAGCTGCTTCAAGTATCCCATCAGTATACTCTTTATCATCATCTAACAATCCTAAAGCATAACATGCATCTCTGAATGAATTATGGTAGATACCATTCACTGTACGAAGGGATTTGTAAGAGGTTGGGCCTTTAATGGTTGCAAGAAGCATGCGCAAGTAGTATGACTCACCACTGCCTGGTGGTGTGTAATACATCCTTCCGATGGAAAATCCTTTTTTCTTGGTGTCCATTCACAAGTATCTTTGTGATATGTAAATTTCATAGGGAACTCTGAGTAAGTTAAACCTTTGGCATTTTCATATTTAGCATTAGCAATGAACCAAGCTTCAAACATAGTCGGTTTCCCATTATTTCTAGACATAACATGTTGAAGATCTTCATTCTCCTCAAATACCACCATTTGATGATTAGGCAAGTGAAATGATAGTCTTTCAACAGAGGGATTTCTATAATTAATATCGAACCCTAAGATCCTCCAAACTGATTCACATGACGAAACATATCGACAATCAAAAAACATTTTGATCTCATCACGAACCAAACCCTCACTTACATCATCTGCTTGAGTATAGAATGCAGCAGTAACTCGATCATAACCTTTATTAACATATTTAAAAAGATACTTAATGGAGTCTCCTTGATTACATCTTTCAACATTAATGTGAGCTCCATATTTTAGTAAAAGAGTTGCGTTATAGGGGATAACATATCTGTTATCCAATGGGATCCCATTCTTCATGACATGTACACCATTATCTTCCCTTTTATACCTTGGATATCCATCTTCATGGATCACTGTTGTAGAGTTAAAGTTTTTTGGGAATTGCTTAGTACATATTCCTTTGTCCATACATGGAGAATGAGGATTAGCTATTCCACATGGCCCATGTAACATATAATTCACCACTACATCATGTAACTCAGGTTGTGCTTCTTTATTAGGGATTTCTGCTGAAATGATGTTGTCAATATCTTTAGCAGTAGATAACTTATCTTTATTTGCAAGGAAAACCAAAATATGAGCATGGGGAAGACCTCGCTTTTGAAATTCAATTGTATATAGAACTGTAACATAAAAACATGAAAACAAATATTAGAAAGAAATAGAAATAAACCATGCATATTACAAATGCATATGTAAACTAAATAAGAGTAGTAAAAGGAGCTTATTAATGTAGTTTGAGTAATACCTGCTTTGACACTTCCAAAAATTTCCTCTTTTCTAATATCTTTGATAAGCAAGTCTAGCTTCATTTTAAATATACGTGTGACAATGTCAGGACGATCTTCTATACGAAGTTGACGAGCTTCCAAAAATCTAGTCATTTCAGGCCATTTTGGATTAGCTGTAAAAGTTATGAACAAATCTGGAAACCCAGCCCATCTACAAATAGCCATTGCATCTTGGTAGTTTTGCATTGTGTAACGGGCACCACCAGTGAAAGAAGATGGAAGGATTACTCGTTTCCCTACAAATGAAGCCTGAGTATCACCTCTAAAAACTGCATCTGCTAAACCATTATAAACCTCTGCTCGTAGTTTTTTTTGGTTCATCCTGATATATCTCAATCTATATGACTCAATCATGGTATATGCATCAACCAAATATTGTTGATATAATTTACGGCCATATAAAAGTAGTGATCCATCCAATGCTCGATCTTGGATATTGTAAGCAAAATATTCCCGAAGTGACACAGTTCCACTCTCACCTTTCATCTTTCGTTGCGTCTTCTTATGTGGAATACCTTCAGTATAGCCTCCATCTCCATATGGAAATAATAGAGGGTATTGCATTGGCAAATATGATTGGTGTGTCTCAGAAATTCGCTCAAGCAAACCACTTCTATATTGAATAATAATATCTCTTCCAAGTTCAGTTGATCCAATGTCTCCCACAACCAAGGCTGCTATTTCGTTAGGTGATGTTGGCAAATTATATGTATGAGCATTTTTACCACCCTTATGAATGAGTCGAATCTTAACTTCCTGACCTTGATGATTCCCCATAAAATCTCGAGCAAGTCTATAAGTTTTAACTAATTCATTGTGATTGTCCAATATTTTTTGCAATTGTTGGACAATAGAAGGCCGCAAAGATTTTTTTGTGTCTTGGCCACTATATTACAAAAGACAAAAAATTAGAATCAAAATTTGGTTATATATAGTTATAAAAGCAATCAAAACTGAAAAGTGTAGAACAAAAGTACCTTACAGCAGCTATCCTATTTGTTGTCTCGTTGGAAGTGTCATGTATATATAACTGAGAAAATTTAGGGGGTGCTCCTTCAACAGGTAAAACACTGCCTATCATATGCATGTTTTGGCCATTAATACAATACACATAAGGACCACGACCATTGTTTACTCTTTTATCAACTTTTCCGCCCATGGACGTGAATGCAAACATCATGTTGTATGCTCTAATATTATCAAGAAAATTCTTACTATCATCATCTATGGAGTGAAATAGCCTCTGTAGTTGCCAAGGAGCATGCTTTGGGTTAGGCAAGTCAACCTTCCCTTGAAGACAACATAATCCAAACTTTGGATGAAGGTTAGAACAATTTTTTTCAAGGTCGTTCATTTATCCACATAATAGCTCCACAGTGAACACATGGATATGCTTGGTCGCCTAAATCAATAGGAGCTGAAAAATTAAAGTAATAAAATAAATTATGTCTATATTAAACTTTGATTTTATGGACATTATCAAATGTTTATAGATTGTCTGTCAAAAAAAATTAGACAATTAACATGCTCTAACATTATTTGTCACGTAATAATCAACTAACTTCCATTGTCCATGAAAGAAAATTTAATTGCAAAGTTTGTGTACTCAATGATCTATTAATATTAGCTCATTGCATAAAAATTAACTTGATGAGAATCCCATCTCATGAATGAACCTCCAGAATATATAGTATATTATTGAAAACATTTAACAAAATTGATGCGTACCAAATACCAACTATTAAAGCTTGTACTCAAACACTTACAACTAACAGGGGGTTCAACTCCAAATTGTCTGTGGGTGTTGGATGTAGAGCATGTATGTTGAAGCACTGTAATTCATCCAGATACATTAGTAGGGATGAATAGATATATAACATTAAAATTTCATTCAAAATAAACATCTCAATCATATTTAACTAAGGTAATGTAACCCAATTGTTGAACCATCAAAAGTCAAATAAAGTACAATGCATATTTTAATTCTTTACAAATTTTCACATTATTGGAGCATGAAATGTTATGCAATGTGAATTTTCTATAGTTTCGAGGTTAATTATAAATACCAACTTGTTATAAGAAACCTACCATTAGTGATATCGTATAAGGGAACTTTATGGGAGTGGCTATAAACGCTCGTCGGAGGTTTTCCCTTGTTGATTGGTTGCACTGAATCTTACATCAAAGAAGATGAAGAGGAAGAAGTATAAATACAAATGTGCAAGATATTCACATTTCAAATAAATTAGTTGAACGCATATGATGGAGGAAGGATTAATACAAAAGGATTTGAAAGGAAGTTTTAAGCCAAAGGCCTCACTTGTTATGCCATTCCTAGCAATAAATGTCCTTGTTGTTTGCTTTCTTTTTTCTCTCAAGATAGAAACCCGTTGTTGTCTCGCAATTTTAGATGATGTGATATTTTCTGAGGTGAAGAAAGATTAAAATGGAAAAGTTAGTCATACCCAGCAATTAAATTCAAAAATTCAAACATTAAAATTAAAACAAATGATAAATTAATATTTTAGTCTCAATGTTTTTCTTTTTTCAGTATTTAAAGATAAAATTGTCGAGTGAATATTCAATGATCTAATTGAAAAATTAAGGTGAAATTTGTCACAAAATCAAAATTCTAAAAGGAGCATTGCCTAAAAAAGGCAGGATTGTTCAAAAACATATATGACAGTATCAATTTAAAATTTATGAAAAGATACTTTATTTGTAAAAAAGATAAAAAGTAATGGCTTGCAGTGTTGGGATATAAATACGTGATATTCTTGAACATAGAAAGAAAGAAAACAATAGTGAAGTGTGACACGTTTATATGACATTAGACTGAAGAGAATATCTGGCAAATTAAAAAGCATTTTACAATTTAATTTTAGGTAATATTTTAATTACATCTTCATTATCTTTAGAATTATTTACTTCCCCAAAAAAAAAAGTGTGGAAAAGACAAGTGAATGCCAATAAATAATTTTTTTTAATTTAAAAGATTGTAATTTGAAACTATAACTTCTCTCTCATGATCTCAAAATCTCAAATATAATTTCTCAATTAATGAAAAATTTAAAATTTTAATTTTAAAAATATTAAATATATCTATATAAATAATACCTATTCCTATATAAAATTATTATTTTAAAAATTACCAAAACCACTTTCCTTCTTTATCCTCGATATTGATCTCAAATATAACTTTCTGAATATTGTCGTTTCGTGAATAATTTTGAATTTATATAATAATTTTGTGAATAGTAATTTAGATGATTTTCTTGAAAATTATATCATATCAATAGTCAAATTAAAATTGAATTAAATTATTAGTTATTTTTTATACTGATGTTATTATAATTGTGTGAATTAATAGAACACAATTTTGTGAATCAATTTATTTTTTTCTCAATAATAAGATGGTAATTTGAAAATATAACTTCTCTCCTATGATCTCAAAATTTAAAATATAATTTCTCAATTAATTCATAAATTATATTTATATATGTCCATCTATGAAAAAGGTTAAAATAGAAAACTAACCTTTGTTGCAGGCAGAATCAAGAGATGCATTCATCTGTTTCTTTTTACCCATTTTAACTGTGATAACACACATAGCATAATAATCTTTATCAAGAAAAAATTCCATAAGCTACAATTTAATAGGATTGAAGAGGTTATTCATAGAAAGTATTATACAAAATAAAAGAAGCTAAATGATGAATACCTCCAATTATCTAATATAATAGCTTAGATGCTTGTTACTATAGGCAATTTTTGGATTCATTGAACATTTAGAATTCTACTTCACACGTAGCAACAACACAATGATGAAAATGATTATCAAAACCAGCCAAATGATTTTTTTTTTCAAAAAAAAAAGTGTTGGTACATAAAGTTTAAATTTCACATTTATTCATGTTTTTTTTTTTACCAACACACATTTATTCATGTTGAAAATACAAACTTAATGCGACAGTAATGAATAAAGGAAGGCAAAATGGTAGTTTAAAGGTTATAATGAACACATACCAGAGAAGGAGAAGAA